AATTGGGCGGGAAGACAAAAACCCAGAAAGTATGGAAAAATATGGGGAATCTTTTTATTTGTGTGCATTTATTTGTGTGTCCTGGGGCCCCTTCGTTGTAGGAGGAGAAGGCACCCATGCCGCCACCCTCTCCTCGTGTTCGCCTTTTTGCTCCTCCTTGGAAGCGCCCTCGTCGCCACAGTGAGATTCGCCTCGCGAGTGTGGCCAGAACGCGCCCGGGGAGATGTCTGGGGAGCGGCGGTATCGGTGCTATTCGGTTCGCCAAGGGCCGTTGGAGCCGTCTGGGGGTCTGAGGTGGCCCAGCCTCCCTCTCTGCCTCCCTCCCTCCCCTCCCCACCCCTCGCCTCCCCTCCCCTCCCCTCCCCTCCCTCCCTCCCTCCCTTCCTCCCCCTCTCCCCCCCTCCCCCCCTGGGGGGCGGTTGGAGCCGTCTGGGGGTCTGAGGTGGCGCAGCATTGGCTCTGGCCAGCAGGCAGGGCGGGCAGGTTCGAGGTTCTGGGGTTCGGTAAGTTTTTTGTTTTGTTTTGTTGTTGTTCAATGCTTTTTGTTGTTTTTTGTTGTTTTCGTTTTGTGTTTTCTTGTGGTTTTTCCTGTTCGGCTTCTGGGGGCTTGTCGGGCCCCAGGACCGTGAAAAACGGATCCAGGAGGGATCTGGGCACCGATCTTGAAAGGATTTGGCCTCATCCCCCCCCTCTCCCGACCGATTTTCTGGGGCCCCAACCAATTCAGACCCCCCAGCCGCCTCCAGGGGGCTGCAATCTAGTCCTTCCAAATGGGGTCCGAGTAGACTGGGTCGGAGGATCGCGCCGCTGCGCCGATGCATCGGCGATATGGCTCGATGTGAAGCCCTGGTTTTTTTCCATGCCGACGGCGCCGATGCATAGCCGACGTTGCCGATGCCATCGGCGATGCACCGGCGATGCGTCGCGATCCTTTGATTCCATCTACTCGGACGGAGGCCTCTAGGCATGCTCAGAGGAGGGCCAGTTGAGACAACGGTAGTCGGGCTTCGGGACCCCCCTCGTCGCCACGGCTGAACGCAGCTCGGAAAAACTGGTGCTGGCGGACCCGTGCAGGGGCCCGGGGATCGATCTTGGGCTGCCGTTGTCTCCACTCGCCCTGCTCCGGCGAGCATCGGGGGCTTCCAAGAGGATGTGCGGAGAGGAGGAGGAGGAGGAGGAGGAGGAGGAGGAGGAGGAGGAGGTTTCATAAGATCCTACAATGGTTCATCTCTGCTGAGGGAATTGCCTTGTCGGAGGACAACTGTTTAAAGAGTCTGAAGCATGCCAAAACATTGTTCTCGGCATTCCACCGCCACGGATCAACCTGACTGGTGCGTCTTGACGGGCCTGAAGCGTGCCAGAACGCCATTCCTGGGACTTCAACACCGCGAATCAACGTAACTGCGTTGCACCCGCATCATCCGGGATCTTTTCAAAACACAAACTTTGGTACGTTGATCATGGGAATCCGTGAAACTCCTAGGTCAAATTTCAAAACGATTGTGCGCGGCGCTCAGGTGAGAGCCATTTTTTGAAAAGTAACCGCCTTCAATCCGTGAAGCTCTTGCAATTTTGTAAAGCGACTGTATGCTGCGCTAAGGCGAGGGCTACATCGAAAACCATCCGCCTTCAATCCGTGAAGCTCTTGCGATTTTATTGAAACCGAATGTGCGCGGTGCTCAGGCGAGAGCCACATTTTGAAAAGGAGCCGCAATCAATCCGTGAGACTCTTGTACTTTGTTAAAACGATTGTGCGCGGCGCTCAGGGGAGAGCCACATTTTGAAAGCCGCCATCAATCCATGAAGCTTTCTTAATTTTTTCAGCACGAATGTACGCGGCGCCAAGGCGAGAGCAACATTTTGAAAACCACCCGCACTCCATCTGTGAAGCTGTTGCCGTTTTTCAGCTTCATGGTCATACATGGTGGTGGAGTATCAGGCGAATCGCCCAGTCCGCCCTAAAACTGGCCTCGGGATGGGACAGGGAAAAGCTACGTATAAGGAAAAGGAATGGAGGAGGAGGAGGAGGAGGAGGACGAGGAGGAGGAGGAGGAGGAGGAGGAGGAACAATAATAACAACAATACTATTATGCACAAACGTATTAATATTAAAACCATAGAATAATAAAACTAATAGTGCTAATACTAATAACCATAATAATGATCATGATAATGATAATGATACTAATAAACTTACTACTAATAATAATATTAATAATGGTAATACTAATAATAATGTTCTTACTACTACTACTACTACTACTACTACTACTACTACTACAACTACTACTACTACTACTACTACTACTACTACTACTACTACTACTACTACTACTACTACTACTACTCTACTACTACTACTACTACTAATAATAATAATACTAATACTACTAATAATACTAATAATACTAATACTAATAATACTACTAGTACTACTACTAAAAATAATAATGATAATAATAATAATTATAATAATAATAATGATGATAATACTAATAATAATAATCATAATAATAATCATAATAATAGTAATAATACTACTAGTAATAATAATAATAATAATAATAATAATAATAATAATAATAATAATAATAATAATAATAATACTAATAATAATAATAATAATACTAATAATAATAATAATAATATTTATAATAATAATAATAATAATACTAATAATAATAATAATGCGAATCAGAATGCGAATAAACATAAGAAGAAGAGAAGGAGGAGGAGGAGAAGGAGGAGGCAGAGGAGGAGGAGGAGGAGGAGGAGGAGGAGGAGGAGGAGGAGGAGGAGGAGGAGGAGGAGGCAGAGGAAGAGGAAGAGGAGGAGGACGAGGAGGAGGAGGAGGAGGAGGAGGCGTTCTCCGCCCTTTATGGCCCCCTTTACTCCTTTTTCAGATTTGTTCCTCGCCCCCCCTCATCCGCTCACATGCGCTCACGTAGGTCAGTCGATCCCCCTCTGGCTGACCAGGCTTGGGAGCCACGGCCGAGTCGGTCTGCCCTCGCCTCCGTCGACTGGAGTTTTGGCGCAACTGCGTGGCCGGCCCGGGACTTCCGATGTGGCCCTGGCTGACCCAGGTGAGCTGAGCGCTGACCCGGGTCAGCGCGTCCCGAGGGAGGGGGACTGCAAGCAGGCTTTTCCCCGTTGCCGTCTCGCTGCTTCCCTGCCCCTTCCCCCCTGGAGGGTCGAGGCCTACTTCAGCAGCCAGGGCTCGACGATGAGCGCCAGAGCGGCGGCACCGGCGCCCCGATCGGCCTCTTGTGGGCTGCCCAGTCCTGCTCTGGGGCCGGGCCGACAGAACGGCAACAGGGGCACGAGCCTTCACGCGGGGGCACCCCTCGAGACCTGGGCGCCGGCGAGCAAGATCACGGCGGGCGCTCCCGCCCCGCTGCAGGCCCCGCCAGCGCCCTCTCGCGCATCGAAGCCGGCCCGAGACACAGAGAGTGGGGATCGGGAGCTCTGGCCGTGGTTTCTCGCGCCGTCTCGCCACGGCGTCGGGCCTCGCGTGGGATGGGGGAGGTGCGGGCGAGGCGACGTCAGGCGCGGGGAGGGGATCTGGGCCTCCAGCGGGGGGGGCGACACGACGGGAGGGGCGGGAGGACCAGGAGGGGAGCAGGAGTGTCGCTTCGGCTGCGGCGTGCTGGTGGTGCTGCAGGCGCCGACGCAGCCGAGGGAGGCCATGCTGCCCGTGGAGGTGCCGGTGTCGCCGCTGCTGGACGTGACCCTCCCGCGCACCGTCACCGCGACGGCCCTCCAGAGAGAAACAACAGCATACGGTAGGTTCATGTGGTGTCGTCGCGCGGGCGACCCCAGCGCGGGCGTTCAATATTGAAAAGCGGCAGCGGCCCAGAATCGGCTGGCACATCTCGAACGATCCGCGCCATCGATGAAGCCGCGATCGCTCAAGACACGGAACCACCCACGTAGTGTCAGAAAGCAACGTGCCAGTCGTCACGACACGAGCCTGCCGTACCGGCACCGAGGCCCTTCCCTCGTTTTTTCGCCTCTTCGGGCTTCCCTGGGGGGTCCCGGGTCGCCTCTGGCAGGACTCGCCCCGGAGTCAGGGTCGGAATCCAGCCCAGGAGCAGTTCAGGGAGCAGCGGCTTCGCTGCCCTCTTGCCCCCCCCAAGGCCCAGCTGTCCGTGCCCGACTCCAGCCGAGGCTTCGCGGAGGGCTCCATCCGCGTGGCCGTGGCCAAGGCGGGGGGCAGCGGGTCTCAGGAGGATTTCGAGCCAGGTGACGAGGCGACCGTGCTCGTGACGCTGCCGAAGGAGGAGGCGGGCGCAGAGGTTTGCGTTTTCGTGGTGGACCAGGCGACGCCGGGGGCCGAAAATGGCCGATCTCTCGAACCCCCCCTCCTCCCGCTCCTCCTCTGCCCCGTTGCCCGTTGCCCTCCTCCTCCTCCTGCTCCTACCCCTCCTCCTCCTTCTTCTCCTCCTCCTCCATTTTATTTCCTTATAGATCTTTTCTCCCTGTCGCACCCAGGGGTGTGTCGGGAGGGCGGGCTGGTTGATTCGCTTAGGACTTCCTCGCGATTCATGATCTTTGAGTTGAGAATTTGCGAGAGTTTCACGGATGGAGGGCGGGTAGTTTTCAAAATGTGGCTCTTGCATTAGCGCCGCGCACATTCGTTTCAAGGGTTGGAAGAGTTGTAAGGATAGAGGGCGGCCGTTTACAAAATGTGGCTCTCACTCCATTTCTGTGCACATTTGTTTTCAAAGAAACAAGAATTTCACTGATGGAGGGCGGTCTCGTTTCCAAAAGATGGCTCTCGTTTTTGCGCCGCGCACATTCGTTCGTCTTAAACAATTGCAAGAGTTTCACGGACGGAGGGCGGCCCCCTTTCACAATGTGGCTCTCGCCTTGGCGCCGCGCACATTCGTCTTAAGAGTTTACAGCCGCATGGTTAACGTACCAGAAATTATGTTTTGGCATGATGTCGGACTGTCAGGGCGCAGCGTTCACGATGATTCGCTGTGTTGAAGTCCCAAGCATTATGTTCTGATGCGATTCAGGACCGTCAAGACACAACAGTAATGGTGATTCGCGGCGTTGAAGTCCCAGGAACGGTGTTCTGGCACAGTTCAGGATTTTCTAGCGGTTGTCTTTCAACGGGGCATCTCTTCCAGTGTCAATGAATCTTTGTGGGGGCCTATGAAGGGGGGAACTTTGAGGGAGGGTTTCTTGCAATATCGTTGATGAGTCTTGGGCTTACGCTCGTCCTCCTCCTCCTCCTCCTCCTTGTCCTCGTCCTATTCTTCCTCCTTGGCCTCCTCGTCGTCGTCCTCCTCCTCGTCCTCGCCCTCCTCCCGCTCTCTGCCCCCTGCTCCTCCTGCTCCTCTCCCTCCCTCCTTGAGCGCCAGCTCACTTCGAACCAGCTTTGGTCAGACCGCGAGCCCAAGGCTGGCGACGGCCCTCGCCGCCGCGGCCGCCCCGCTTTTCGCCCTCTGCCGACTCCTCCCCGCTCTGCGGCTGCCGTGCGGTCGCCGTGGCGCACGCCGCGGCCCCGCCGCGTTGCGGACGGGAGCAGGTGGCAGCTGGCCAGGGCCTGGTGCGCAGGGCATCCAACCGATGCTCAGGACATTCGGTAGCATTTGGCCCGAGGCAGCAGGCCAGGCGTTGATCGGGCGCCGCGTGGGAGGCGACCGCTAGATGCAGGTGGCGCCCCCGCCCTGCAGAGCCCACGCTGCCTGGCCCACAGGGCGCGTGCCGCCGACCCCTCACATGTTGCCAGTGCTGGTGCGCTCCATTTCCTGTACTTCACCAGCCGCAGCTCTCTGCCCCTGCTGGAGCTCTTGACGGGAGGAGTTCGAGCCGACCGTGGACCCTGAAGGTGGTCGTCTTGCCCCCAGAGCTGTCCCCGGCGCTCCGTGTCTGGGCAACAGGCAGGGGCACTCGCCAGGCTTCCGGCGAGGACGCCTGCGACGGCAAGGGCAGGCCGTGCGGCCCAGCTCGCAGCGGCGCCTCGGCAGCAGCTCCTCCTCCCCACGCGGTCGCACGCTCGAGCCGCCCGCGGCCCTGCCCCAGGCCTGCAGGCAGCGGCACGTGCAGGCGCGAGCCGCGCCACCCGCCCGGGCTCCGCTGCCAGGCCCGCAGGCGGGCTGGCGCGGCGCCGGGCCCCTTCGCGCCGCCGCCGCGGCCGCCGCGGGCCACGCCGCCAGAGCCGCCGCTGCGGGGACCGGCCGAGGCGGCCAGGGAGAGGCGGGGCGCCCCCAGCGCTCGCCTGCGGCTCGCTGCCCTCGGGGTCCTCGGGCGGGTCGGAGGCGAGGTGCCCCCGCCGAGGCAGCATCGGTGGGGCTGCCGCTGGGCTTCGTGTTCCCCTCGGCGCCTCCTCCCGCCTTCTGCCGTCGTCGTCGTCGTCGTCGTCGTCGTCGTCGTCGTCGTCGTCGTCGTCGTCGTCGTCGTCGTGGTCGTGGTCGTGGTCGTGGTCGTGGTCGTGGTCGTGGTCGTGGTCGTGGTCGTGGTCGTGGTCGTGGTCGTCGTCGCCGTCGTCGTCGTCGTCGTCGTCGTCGTCGTCGTTGACGTCCCGTGTGCAGGGTGCGTCCGCCTCGCGGCTGTGCGCAGCAGCTCCGAAGTCCCAGCCTTGAAATCCTTCCTTCCCCTCTTCCCTCTCACCCTTCCCCTGTCCCCCCCCTCCCCCTTACTACTTCCCCCGTATCCACTTCCCCCTCTCCGCCGTTCTCTCTTCCTCTTTTTCCCTTGGTCCCCCCCCTCTCTTCGCACCCGCATTCCTTTCCCACCTCTGTCTGACGCTCTCCCTCTCCAGGCGATGCTGGATGTTGGGGGCGCCGCGAATCCGCACCCCCTCGTCCTTCTGAACGACAGCTTTGCCATAAGCCGCGGCGGCGAATTCGCCTCGGTCGAGGAAGAGGGGAGACGATGATAGTGCTGATGGTGATGCCATGAAAAAGATGATGCTGCTAATGAAGTAGGTAAGAACAATCAACAGGTGTTTATTTCCTTGCCTCCAGTAGACCGTGTCCAGGGAGAAGGAGGAGAAGGAGGAAGAGGAGAAGGAGAAAAAGGAGGAGGATGAGGATGAGGATGAGGATGATCATGATGACGAGGAGGAGGAAAAGGAGGAGGAGGAGGAGAAGGAGGAGGAGGAGGAGCTAAGAGCATTTCGTGGTAGGACTATAGGGATGCCGGGACGGTCGGTCCCTGCTCAAAGTAGGGGATCGACCTACAGTATTGGTTTACCACAGAGCAGATGCTTTCGTCGAGTCTACACAGCATACGTGTGATGCTCCGTGGGTCCACGGAGCCGCAGTCTTGACGGAACACAGATCATTTTGGGGTAAGTTCATTCTGTCGTCGACCCCCTGCTCGAGAGATGGAGGAGGATAGGGAGGGGGAGGAGGGGGGGATTCTCGGCGTGGGCACGGAGTGGGGTCTTCCCTGGCCCGGGCGGAGGACACCCGCAACGGGCTCGCCTCCTCCGACGGCTACCGGCAGATGCCGGAGAGGGCGCTGCGGCTTGCTGGCATCGACCCG